AGAAGGCGGAGGAGAGGAGAGCAGTGGAAATCTATGGGCCGGTCCTCGGGACAGAGGAGCCATCACTCTTCCCAGCCTAGCTCTGGGGATAAAAGCGCAGGGGGCAGAGATGAATAGATGTGACAGACAACTATTCATCTCCCAGACGGACGAACTTGTTCGCCTGCGGTGAGAGAGGAACTTTTGTGCTAGGGCTGCCGATGCTCCCAGTAAAGGAATAATTGCTTCAACTACAGAAGGTTTGTCGGACTTGGGGAACAGGGTCAGAACGCAAGCGTTGCCGTAGCGCTCGCAGTCTCACTCACGCGAGCCTCATTGCTCGCAGCCCTCTCGCACGACTGTCGCTGTGAACATTGCAGGCATTTGTGCAGGGCGTGCGCACACACACACACGCACGCGCACCTGCCCCTCTTCATCCCCTCTTCCCCCTTCCCTCCTGCTCCGGGCTGCTAACCCGAAAAGTTTGGGGAACTGTGCCTCAAGGAAAACACAACAGTGTCTGATCTGAATTCAGATGCTGGGCAACTGACTTGTATTTATGACGGTTGCAGTATCCCAGGGTTATATGATCCCCTTTTGTGGCTCTCAGACGAGCAACGTCAACGGGGAAGCCAGAGTCACTCAACAACCATGTCACTAACTTTTAATGACTGCGGTGATTCGCTTAACAACTGTGGCAAGAAGTCATAAAACGGGGCAAAACTCACTTAACAAAGGTCCCGCTTAACGACAGAAATTTGGGGTTCAATTAGGGTTTGTAAATCGAGGATTACCTGTTATTACTTTCCAGGAATTGCTTCAATAAGTAACCTGATTCTATAACCTGCTTTGATTGGTGGCATCCGTTAAGCTAACGCCGCAGTCATTCAGCAAAAACCAGAGTCATTAAGTGAACACTACAGTCATTAAGAAAGTCCGGTTTTTCCAATGGACGTTATTTGCCAGAAACTGGAAGTAAACACCAGAAAGCAGTAAAACCACACAGTCACATGACCTCAGGGCGTGGCAAACGGCCATAAATGCAAGCCCACAATACGATCACATCACACACGCACACACACACACACACACACACACACACACCTGGAACGAGGGGGTATCCAGAACTTTCAAGCAAGTCATAAGTAGCTTTGGGAATGTCTGTAATTTCAAGCAGTCTGTAAGCAACCAGTCGCTAAGTGAGGACTACTTTTCAGACTAAAATGATTATTAATCAATGAATCTCTCTCGATATTCTCATTTATCCAGGTTCTGGTTGTCCCAAAGGTGCTTTTTTTTATTTTCAAAGGGCAGCTGGGCTTTCTGGTTTTTCTTTGAGGACGTTTCGCTTCTCCTCCAAGAAGCTTCTTCAGTTCTGACTGAACGGTGGAGGATGGAAGGATTGACGCTCCTTGCGGAGAGCTGGTCATTTGCATCCTTTTTAGAGAGCCGTTGAGGCCACTTGGAGGTCACCTGAGTGGAGCTTTCTTGGAACTGCCGAAAGGACTTGTGTTGTGGAGCTGTGCTTTCTTGCAGGATATTTCAGCAGTTCCAAGAAGGCTCCACTCAGGTGACCCTGAGGACACCAACAAACCTCCAGGTGGCCTCAGTGACTTTCTAAAAGGATGCAGGTGACCAGCTTTCTGCAAGGAGTATCAATTCCCCATTATTCCATTCCCCACTATTGTCGGGCTCCATTTAAATTATGAGTCTCGAGCCAAACATCCAAAACTTCAAAAGGATTTATTGGGAGTTAACACTGGGCGTAGCCGACTCTGAGACACATCATTCATTGTGACCCTTGACCCTGATTTTCCCTCCACCCCTCTGGGTGTATCGTAATTCATATCCTCCAATGGGACACCTCCATAGCCCAGAGTCATCAATCGTGCTCGCCAGTTAGAATTTTGGAGTGCCAGAAACTTCGGTTACCTAGTTACTATCTTTGAAAACATTTATGGAATGCACTTTCGGTTTGCAAGCGGCTGCATTGCTCCCCCCTCCCTTTCTGTTGGCAACTCTAAAAAGACCATAGAAATATTTTATGAGTTGACAACTATCCTGTCGGAGCTGAAGATGCTTCTTGGTTGAGAAGTGAAACGTCTTCAAAGAAAAAAAACAAAAACAGAAAGTCCAGTTGACTCTTGGAGAAAAGAAAAAATGAGCATTTTTTTTTCCCTTTTTTTCTTTGGCCTCTTGGTACAGATCCAAAACTTGACAGTTAATGGGGCCTAACCCGGATGAAGGTCAATGGGAAATGATGGCGACGCCAGGCGAATCCAAGCCACACTCACCATGAGCCTCGACGTCATATTCCTCACCATCGTAATTGCCATCGGAGTCTTCGTCCTCTGGGTCAGGGTGCAGGGCCTGGCATTCGCACATGGCAGTGAACATGGCTTCCACTAGGTTAAAACACAAGCATAAAACTTGACTTCACTCGGTGACGGACGGCTCCACGAAGGTTATTTTGATAGGCACTTGGCAACTGATGCGAATTCGATCACCTTCCCAGCTGGTTTCCGGCAAGCATTAGTCAAATGCGGGGAAGCCAGATTCGCTTAATGACCAAATGATTCACTTAACAGTGATCTGCTGAACAATTGTGGCAAGACAGATCGTAAATCTTGGGGTTGCTCTTCGCTTAACCGCCGCCTTGCCTTGGCGGCAGAAATTTGGGGCTCCACTGTGGTCGGAAGTCGAGGACTACCTGTGCTTGCCCCGTACGCTTAAAATCTATGGAAGGAGGAGGACAGATCAGTTATAGTGTTTGCTTGCTAGTTAGATCTGTACCAGCATTATTCTGAAAAAAACAAGGTGTTTGGTGCAGTGGTTAAGGTACTAGGCTGGAAAGCAACAGAAGGTGAGTTCTAGTCCTGCCTTAGCCATGAAAGCCAGCTGGGTGACTTTGGGCCAATCACCAGGAGACTGGGAGTTCTAGTCCCACCTTAGGCATGAAAGCCAACTGGGTGACTTTGGGCCAATCACCAGGAGACTGGGAGTTCTAGTCCTGCCTTAGCCATGAGCACCAGCTGGAGGACTTTGGGCCAATCACCAGGAGACTGGGAGTTCTAGTCCCGCCTTAGCCATGAAAGCCAGCTGGAGGACTCTGGCCCAATCACCAGGAGACGGGGAGTTCTAGTCCTGCCTTAGCCATGAAAGCCAGCTGGGTGACTTCGGGCCAATCACCAGGAGACTGGGAGTTTAGTCCCGCCTTAGCCATGAAAGCCAGCTGGGTGACTTTGGCCCAATCACCAGGAGACGGTGAGTTCTAGTCCCGCCTTGGCCATGAAAGCCAACTGGGGGACTTTGTGCCAATCACCAGGAGGCCTGGAGTTCTAATTCTGCCTTGGGCATGAAAGCTGGCTGGGTGACTTTGGGCCAGGGTCTTTTTCAGCCCAACTCACCTCACAGGGTTGTTGTTGTGGGGAAAATAGGAGGAGAAAGGCTTATGTTGGCCGCCTTGAATTATTTGTGAAAATAATAAAGGTGGGATATATATGAATGAATGAATATGGGCTTGATTTCCTCCATCCCTCACCTCACCCGAGATATATTCTCCATGCCAAAACTCGCGTGATCTTAAGTTTCTCATCTTTTTTTCCTACTTACATGCTGATTTGTCACTGGGTACAAAACGGAATTCGGAGATGGGTTCAAGCTCGTCGTCGCTATCCTCCTCTTCCTCCTCCGGGATGGGGCTTTCTCTGGATTCTTCTACTAAGACATCAGAAATGAAGATGCACGTCAAGGAACCTAGTAATCCTGCCTCACTTCTCCAAAAAGTAGGACCACCTGGGAGCTCCTGATGTCCTTTCCAGCAGCTTATAATAGCCAGGGATCATCACTAAAATCCAATCATTGGGTGTAGCATACACAAATGTAAGGAATGAAAAAAAGGGGAAGAGAGAGAGAGAGATTGAGAGGGAGAGAGAGAGAGAGAGGGAGAGAGAGAGAAGAGAGAAAAGAGAAAGAGAGGAGAGAGAGAGAAAGAGAAATTCAAGAAAATAAAGGACTAGAAAAAAGTGAGAGAAAAAGAGATGCTGACAGTGTAAACCACTTAGAGGGCTGTAAAGCACTGTGAGGCGGTATGTAAGTCTAAGGGCTATTGCTAACCAGTCCAACTTACCTTCAAACTTTGCATTCACCATGACATACAAATGTTCCCACGGGTAGCTATTCAAGTCCCTGGAGATGGCATGTAAGCTTATGATGGGATAGTCCAAGGAGAACCCAAGACCTGAATCTGCTATCCATGACAGACGACTAAGAATACAAAGCAACAGAAAAAAAATAAGTTGTAACTGAGTTGATGAGAAGAGAATTTTACACGAGAACAGAATTTTACACCAAACTACTTATAAATCACAGTTCACACCAATCTGAGCCATAAGGATCACATATTTATTTTTTAAAGCAGCTACAGAACAAAACCTGGATCCAAGACACAGATGCTAATGGATACAGGAGGCAGAAGTATTAGTCAGGATTATACAGAAGAGTGATTCAGTGCTGGGCCGGTCACCCTTTCTCAGCTCAAACCACCTCACAGGGTTGTTGCTGCGGAGAAAATAGGAGGAAGAAACTGTGTGGTATACACTCAACCATCTTGAGTTATTTATAAAAATAATAAAGGATACAAATAAATAAAAATCAGAAAAAGATTTATTCGCCACTCTGAGTTCAGAAACATACCATCAAAATAATATAAAATGAAGTTATCCACCGGAAACTATCTCAAACCACGGAATGTAACCATCTAACACAGAATGAGCCATAACAATAATGGGCTCAGCAATTTTTACTATTGTTGTGACCCAACAGCTAGAATCTCAGGCACACATCTTTAAGGGTTTACATATTGTCCCACGTATATCCGGAGATCACTTATGGTCATCGTATCTACTGTAGCTTGAAGGCAGAAGCAACCTGTGCTTCCATAATATTTACTGGATGCATGCCCAGCCTTCCAAGTCTAAAAAAATCATCAGCCAGTACAGTGGATTCTGGGAATTAAAGTCCCATACTTTTGCCAAGTTTGAACAATACTGGGTTAAATGGTTAGGAGGCCACATGCTTGGCCATTACAAGCTTCAAATATCTACCTACCTCCTATGTGCTGGTATCTGTATCCTATCTATCTATCTATCTATCTATCTATCTATCTATCTATCTATCTATATTTCTATATCTCCATATAATGGTTGTCTGTCTGTCTGTCTATCTATCTACCTACTCAACTACCTCTATCTATCTATCTATCCATCCACCTACCTACCTACCTATATCCTATCTATTTGTCTGTCTCTCCCATCTATATTCCATCTATCTATATCCCAACTATCTGTCTGTCTGTCTCCATCTATATCCCAACTATCTATATCTTCTCTATATGTATATCTATATGCTATGTATCTATGTATCAACATCTTTCTCATCTATTTCCATCTCTCTTCTATCTATTGTCTGTCTATCTCCCATCTATCTTTATCCTCTCTATATGTATATTTATCTCCTATCCATCCACCTATTTATCATCTGTCCTATATCTATCCATGCATCCATCTATCTTACATCTTTCTTTTATCTATTTCCATTTCCTATCTATCTATCTATCTATCTATCCATCCATCCATCCTATTTATTGTCAGTCTGTCTATCTCCCATCTATCTTTATCCTGTGTGTATGTGCGTCCTATCTGTCTGTCTGTCCGTCCATCTACCTATTTATCATCTATGTACTATATCTATCCATGCATCTCTCTCTCTCTCTCTCTCTCTCTCTCTCTCTCTCTCTCTCTCTCTCTCTCTATATATATATATATATATATATATATATATATATATATACACACACACACACACACACACACACACACACACACACACATCCAATCTATATTCTGTCTATCTTTCTGCCTGCCTGCCTATATCACCTTTGTTTTTATAAATTAATTCAAGACAGGCACAGAACACACCCAACATACTTCCTTCCTCCCATTTTCCCCACCACAACAACAACCCTGTAAGGTGGATTGCGCTGAGACAGAAAGAGAGAGGTGGAGGACTGGCCCGAAGTCACCCCCTTACTAGAATTATGATTTGATGAATGCAATTAGCGATCCAATAGTAGCCGGGGACCACGTAGAAACGGCATCCGGGACGGCCCATTATTACTCCTTGAAAGTGCAAGTATGTTGTGGCGGGATGACGTTTCTGAGCTGCAGGCGCCCGATCTGGAGGGCGCCAGGATGGAGAATCTGACCACGGATGAAACCCACAGGCCCGGCCTCCCCTTCCTCCTCCGAAAAGGCCGGTTTGGGGGAATATCCCTCCACCTTTCCAAGTGGCAGGGAGTTCCGCAGGTCTCCTCGGTTTACGTCTATACGCCCTCACCTCTCCGCGATGTACAGACTGCCGGTGCCCAGGCCGCGTCCCGCGAGCACGGCCTCCGTGCCGGGCTGCCTTAGCCGGATCCCCTCGCTCGGCTCCGGGATGCGCTTCAAGAAGCTCATAGCGAGCGCGAGGCCTACCCCGACCCGGGAGACACCGGAAGTACAACCCGCCCAGGCTGACCCCACGCGCTTCGCCGTTTCCTTTCGCCGTTATCATAGAGGGGAGAGAGCGTCCCGCGCGCCCAGGGCTGTTACCATAGAGACGAGAGGACGGCACTCCTCGGCGGCGATTGTGGCGGTGTCACATGACTTTCTCCCCTCCCTCCCTATTTTCTATAAACCCCCCTTCCTTCCTCCGTCATCTATCTATCTATCTATCTATCTATCTATCTATCTATCTATCTATCTATCTATCTATCTTGGCAGAAAAAAATCAGAAAATAAAATACAAGCTAAATAGTCAAGACCTTGTTGTGGATCCAAACTCTGTCAAGGACCTTGGAGTATTCATCTCTAATGATCTAAGTGCTAGAGCCCACTGTAACTACATAGCCAAAAAGGCATTAAGAGTTGTTAACCTAATCCTACATAGCTTTTTCTCTGGCAATATTACATTACTAACTAGAGCATACAAAACATTTGCTAGACCTATACTTGAATACGGCTCATCAGTCCAGAACCCACATTATGTATCTGATATTAACACAATTGAAAAAGTCCAGAAATATTTCACAGGAAGAGTTTTCCACTTCTCTACTCATTGCAGAATACCTTATGCCACCAGACTTGAAACTCTAGCCCTAGAAAACCTAGAACTACGCCGCCTCCGGTCCGATCTAAATATAGTATATAAAATCATACATTGCAATGTCCTACCTGCAAATGAATACTTCAGCTTCAATCATAACAATACAAGAGCACACAATAGATACAAAAACTCAAGGTTAACTACACCAAACTTGATTGCAGGAAATACTACTTCAGCAACAGAGTGGTCAATGTCTGGAATACTCTACCTGACTCTGTGGTTTCTTCCCCAAACCCCAAAAACTTTAACCTTAGACTGTCTACAATTGACCGCACCCTCTTCCAAAGAGGCCTGTAGGGGGCGTGCATAAGCGCACCAATTGGGCCTATGGTCCCTGTCCTATTGTTTTTTATTTTTCTTATAAGTATCTATCTCATGTATTCAAAACTATATTTATTCTTATACCTGTATCTTGTGATTGACAAATCAAATAAAATGTAAATGTAAATCTATCCATCCATCCATCCCTCTTCTATAAACCTCTCTTCCTTCCTCCATCATCCATCCATCCATCCGTTTGTTTTCGTAGATTTTCACGGCAAGTGGGACCTCGTCAAAACGTTGCCAAGATACTCTCAATCTTACACGGGAAAAGACCTGAACACGCCAAGACCTGCTATCTATCTATCTATCTATCTATCTATCTATCTATCTATCTATCTATCTATCTACTATAAACCTTCCTCCCTCTCCCCCCATCATCTATCTATCCATCCATCCATCCATCCGCCCTATGAATTCTCAGTCATCCTCATCAGAATAACAAAGTTGGAAAGGACCTTGGAGGTCCTCTAGTCCAACCCCTGCTCAAGCAGGAAAACCTATACCATTTCAGACAAAAGGCTGTTCAATCTCTTTCGAAAAGCCTCCAGTGATGGAGCATCCAGAACTTCTTGAATATTCTATTAATTAATTGTTGTACCTGTCAGGAAATTTCTCCTTAGTTCTAGGATTGTTTCTTTCCTTCATTAATTTTCAACTGTTTTTTTTCTTGTCTTGCCTTCTGCTGCTTTGGAAAATAGGTTAACCCCCCTCTTCTTTGTGGCAGGCTCCCAAATATTGGAAGATTGCTATCATATCACCCTTAGTCCTTTTTATTAAACTAGACATACCCAATTCCTGCAATTGTTCTTCATGTGTTTTAGCCTCCAGCCCACTAATCTATCCTTCTTATCATTGGTGGGATTCAATTATTTTACTACCAGTTCTGTGTGTGTGGCTTGGTGGGCGTGGCAGGGAAAGGATACTGTAAAATCTCCAGTCAGAGGTGGTATTTGCCAGTTCCCCAAACTACTCAAAATTTCTGCTACCGGTTCTCCAGAACTGGTCAAAACCTGCTGAATACCACCTCTGCTTCTTATCTTATCTATCTGTCTCTCACCTGTCTATCTATAAAACTTCCTTTTTAGGACCTTGTAATTCCTTAATTCGGAGTAGAGTTGGGGCAACTGGATGAAGGTGTGCATTTACTGGCCGAATGCCCTTCCTGACACCTATCCAAAGTTTGCAGTACATCTTATAATTCTATTCCTTCCCTTTCTGCTGATGTTAAAAAACCCTGCTTTTACTAACTTCAGGACTGCAAGTTTTAAACTATCCGCAAATCAGATTAAGCTGCAATCTTTTACAACGGGATATCAAAGCAGGCAAAAGGATACCCTTGTGTCTTTTCCGATAGGTACTCGATGCATCGGCTTATTTAAATGGTTTTTTTATTATGACAATTTACATGTCATATTTATATGAAAGAAAGGACAGCAGATATTATAAACAAAAACATTAGGAAAGGGAAAAAAAGTTACACAACCAAGCCTCCGAGCTTTTTTTTTTTTTAAAGGCTGCAGGCCCAGCTTATATACTAAAAGTTGTGACCAGACCATTGTGAGACAACACTGAACATTTCGTTAACAAAAATATTGGCACCCGCCATAACATTTTTTCTTTTAAACTTCAATTTACAAGGAATATGGTATTTAAACAGTCAGGTACTGCAAAGCTAAAATAACCAGCTGTTAGTCGACTATAGTTAACCACTTTTGTGGGCTGAGAGAATTAGAACGTTCTAGATCAAATGAAAAAAAAAATCCATGCAAATGAATTGACAGGGATGAGGGGGGAAGAATCAAAATATGGTAAAAAAACAAGTTCAAAGTTATGTACAAGTATGAAGAGACATCCAGTTTTCTCCCCCAAATTATCTATTTCTCTCTCCAAACCTCCACTTTGAATACAGTTCAAGAAAAGAAAATCAACACGAAAAATCCATGAGAAGGCTGTACAGAAAAAAAAAATTGAAGGATGCGGCAGGTACACAACACACACTTGTAGGTGGAAAACTGCACATCAGTTTCCTAATTAATCTCAACCAATTTGAGAATGAGACATCCAATGTTGGGATGAATTGTCCACCCTGAAAAGTGTACACCCCGTCCATAAAATCCAGAAATTATTAACCTTCAAAATGTAAACGATTCATATTTTTATTTAAAGGAAATCAGGTCACAAGTTTTGAGCAGGGCTTAGAAAATGTTCTTAAGGGATGTGAGTGTTAACTTGAATCAACTGAGGATAAAGGTGAAGGTTACCTTCGCACATGTGTGCTAGTCGTTTCCAGCTCTACGGGGCGGTGCGCATCTCCGTTACAAAGCCGAAGAAGAGCCAGCGCTGTCCGAAGACGTCTCCATGGTCATGTGACTGGCATGACTAAACGCTGAAGGCGCATTGAACGTTGTTACCTTCCCACCAAAGGTGGTTCCTATTTTTCTACTTGCATTTTTATATGCTTTCAAACTGCTAGGTTGGCAGAAGCTGGGACAAGTCACAGGAGCTCGCTCCGTTACAGGGTGCTAAGGATTTGAACTGCCGAACCGCTGACGTTTCTGATCGACAAGCTCAGCATCTTAGCCACTGAGCCACCCCGTCCCATCAATGAGGGATAAGAAGGTTCAAACAAATGTAGTTATGCACTATTATTATCCAGGCTCAGGTGTGCTACCCAGGTGTTTTCCTTGCCTTCCCTCCTGTGCTGCTGTTGATTCTTAGTAATGGGTATACAGGTAGCCCTCAACTTATGACCACAATTGAGCCCAATGTTTCCGTTACTAAGTGAGACATTCCTTAAGTGAATTTGGCCCGTCTTTCTTGCTACAATTGTTCAGTGAATCACTGCAGCTGTTAAGGTAGTAACATAATTGTTAAATGAATCTGGTTTTCCTGTTCTGAAACTTGCTCGTCAGCAAAAGGTGACCCCAGGATACTGCAACCGTCATAAATATGAATCAGCTGCCGAGTGTCTCAATTTTGATTGCGTGACCGTGGGGAATCCTGCAGCGGTGTGAAAAATGGTCATTAAATCGCTTTTTTTCAGTGCCGTTGATCATTGAACAGTCACTAAACAAATTATTGTAAGTCGAAGACTACCTGTTGTGATAAATTCTGCAGTTTGCAAGAGGTTGGACTTGATGATCTCCAAGCTCTCTTCTGACTATGATTTTAGGATTGAGCTGTCCTTTTGGGACTGATGGACTGAAATCCAGAATTTAGGAACACTTCTAAAGGAGACTATCTTTGCAAATGGAAAAACTCAAAAATTCTTGATTTAGAAAAGATCCCTGCTGGATACAAAAAAATATTCTTAATCCAAAACTGTGGAGGTAGTATAACTGCCACAGAGGGGAAAAAGATAGCCGAATTATCACCATGTTTCCCAGAAAATAAGACTGAGTCTTATATTAATTAATTATATTAATTAGGACTTATTTTCTGGTTAGGTCTTATTTGGGGGGAAATACGGTTCCACATGCGTCCGTCTGCCTGACAATCTTAACTGGGGCTTATTTTCAGGATAGAGCTTATATTAAAAGTATCCTGAAAAATCACGCTAGGGCTTATTTTCCAGTTGGGTCTTATTTTCAGGGAAACGGTATTTTCTATAGACAAGAAGCACTCAAGTCCCAAAAAACTCAGGAAAGAAACCTGAAACAGGAAACCCAGGATAAGATCATCCTTGACTTACGACCACAATGAGCCCCAAAATGTCTGTTGCTAAGCAAGACAGTGAAGTGAATTTTGCCTTGTTTTACGACTTTTCTTGCCACCATTAAGTGAATCGTGCCGTTTGTTAAGGAAGTAACGTGGTTGTTGAGTGAATCTGACTTCCCCATTCACTTTGCTTGTCAGGAGGTCACAAAAGAGGATCATGTGACCCCCCGGGGATACTGCAACCATCATAAATATGAGCCGGTTGCCGAGCATCCAAATTTTGATCGCGTCACCATGGGGATACCGCAATGGTCATAAGTCACTTTTTTCAGCGCCATTGCAACTTTCAACAGTCACTAAATCAACTGTAATTCATGGAGTGCAATTGGATGTAAGCTAGTAATCTTACTATTCCACTACTATTATACTACTATCAGTAGTAGTAACTACTAGTAGTGTTGAAATCGCAACATTCCCCCCCCCCCTCGGAAAATACCAGCAAAAGAATAATTTCTGAAACAAAATTACTGGGCCATGTTGAAAATAATGGTAGGCCAAGCCAGTCCCAAAATAGAACCAGCCAATTTTAATCCAGATAACTGTGTTTTCCCACCCAGAGTAAATTCTCCAGTATGGTCATTAATTGAGGACTACCCTATACTGGTTGGGAAATTCTAGGAGCAATTTAACCTTGCCTGAACAGAAGCTGCCTTCGGAAGTTGTGGGAGCTTTATCACTGGAGGTTTTCAAGAAGAGACTGGACTGGTCTCCTACTTGGGCGGGGGGTTGGACTAGATGACCTACAAGGTCCCTTCCAACTCTGTTAATCTGTATAATTATTTAGGAGACACAAATATATGCAAATCCAACCCTGTAGTTTTCTGGAGTCTCCCATTCAGAGGAATTATTCCAGTAGGGAAACACAATCCAACTTTCTTTGCTGGATGATTCAAACATTTAGCATCACAAGGACCCCGGCTATTGACTTCTGAATTTTGCCGTTCTCTCTCATCAAGCCCAGCTTCGATCCAGAAACTTCCCCCTCGAAATATTTCGGAAACACACGTACCTTAAATGTGCATCACACATTAATGTTTGCGTCGCATATACTGGAAGGGGAGGGTGACATTTTCCTCTGGCACTTGGCCTATCAAATCTCAATCCTTTTAACAGGAACCCCGATAAATTCGTGATGAAAAATGAAATGTTACCTCAGTTGAATGTGGCCTTTCTGTTATCGCCTTCCCGTTTTATTCATCCTGGACTTTTCTGCGCCATTGATTCATTTATTTAACACTGCAAAAACAAAAGGTGGCACCTCAAGCCCTCTAGTCACAACGCCCGTCACTGTCTATGGGCAGGAGGGTAACAAGAATACAGTAGCCTTTATCTAACAACCGCAATGGAGCCTAAAATTTCTGCTGCTAAGCAAGTCAGCTCTTAAGGGAATGTTTTGTGACCTTTAATTCCTCTGCCTTTCAGGGAAATTACTTTCTCTATACATTTTTAAATTGTTAAACGTGCCAGTTAGATAATCCTCAGTGTACAAGCGAGCTGAACATTTCTGTTCCTAAACAAGACAGCCATTAAGCGAGTTTTGCTTCATTTTATGACCTCGCCGTAGTTAAGTGATTCATCAGTCATCATCATCATTTAAAAACTCCATAATCCCTTGCGGAATGAACTCTGGGCAACTGAAAGGAACTAGCAGTGTTTTAATGGCCCGTTGCCCTTCCTGTTGCCAATACAGAGTTTTATTCGGCAGATATATTCTCATTGTACCCAGAGGAGGGAAAAATCTGCCTCTACCTAGGGTCGAACCCACTGCCTTCCTGATTGTGAGGTGAGAGCTCCACCTCTAGGCCACCGCACCACTCTAGTTACGTGATTCATCAGTGTAGCTGTTAAATGAGTAACCCGGTTGTTAAGCGGATCTGGCTTCCCTGCTGACGTTGCTCATCAAAAGGTCGCAAAAGGGGATCACATGACCCCGGGACACCGCAATCATAAATAACGTGTCAAAGCGTCTGAATGTAAATCACGCGAGTGTGGGGATGCCACAACGGTTGTAAGTGTGAAAAACGGCTATAAGTCACTTTTTTCAGGGCCATTGTAACTTCGAATGGTCATGTGAAGCAACAGGTAGTTCTTGACTCACAACCGTTCGTTTAGTGATTGAACATAAGGACAGCGTGAAAAAAAATGATTTATGACTGGTTCTCACAATTATTGTAGCATGGTCACATGATCAGTTACGACCGGTTGTAAGTCAAGAACTGCCTGCACTTCACATTAAGGCAAGCCTTCCTAAATTCCTTCTAATGTTTATGGACTACGGGTAGTCCTTGACTTACAACAGTTCGTTTAGTGACTGTTCAAAGTTACAACGGTATCAGGAGTCCGGCAGTTACTCCAATGAAATCGACGAGCCTCGAGCCACACTCCCAAAACTAAAAAGGATTTATTAGAAGTTAACATTCTACATCCAGCATTAGCCTGGATGTAGAATTATAGTTGTCAAACGGCACTGAAAAATGTTGACTTGACCATTTTTCAGTTACAGCCATTGTACTATTTCCCTGATCCTGTGATTAAAATTCAGATGCTTGGCAATTGGTTCACATATATGACTGGTGTGGTGTCCCAAGCTCGTGTGATCCCCTTTTACGACCGACAAGCACGGTCAATGGGCAAGCCCGACTCACTTAACAACCGAGTTACTCAGGTTATCAACTGCGGTGCTTCACTTAGCAAGAAAGGTTCTAAAATGGGGCAACACTCACTTAACAAATCTCTCACTTCACGACAGAAGTTTGGGGCTCCCTAGTGGTCATACGTCAAGGATGGCCTGAATTATGCTGACAACCTATTTGTCGGCCAAGAGGCTTAACCAGGGACTTTAATTTCCGCAGGGAGCGGATGTAATTTCTTTCCTTTCCTTCTCAGGAATAATTTAATTCCCCTTGCCTACCTTTGTCTTCTAAAAATATATATATAAAAATGCAGCTCTGGCAGCGGTGAAGCCAAACGTTGGCTCGCTTTAAGGCAAACCGAAAGTGAGATTAAAAATGTGTATCTCCCGCCTTTGAGCATCACACCCACATGAAAGGAAAAATTAGCATTTAAAAGAACGGGTTACTCATTTCTGTGGATGCTGTCAGAACAGACGCGTTTGAAGAAAATTACGCAGCATGGTCTGAATCCAAAAAAAAAAACAAGACACCTTTGGGACAACCATGATCTGGATGGCGGCGAATCTCCATAGACATTCTGGCCAACTTAATTCTCCAAAAACACCTGAAAGGCAGGAAAAGAAGCAACGGGTGGAAACTAATCAAGGAGAGACGCAACTTAGGAATAAGGAGGAATTTCCTGACCGTGAGAACAATTAGCCTGACTCCAGAAGTTGTGGGTGCTTCAACACAGGAGGTTTTTTTTAAGAAGAGATTGGGCAGCCATTTTGTCTGGAATGGTACTGGGTTTCCTGCTTGAGCAGGGGGTTGGTCTAGAAGACCTCCAAGGCCCCTTCCAGGTCTATTCTGATTGATCTCCATACTTAACATTCTCTGTTTGCCACCGTATCCCAACGCAGGGATATCCGAAGCCCTATAACACTACCTCCCAGAAAATTCTTAATTTAAAAAAAAAAAAACAGTTGGTAAGCTTCAAAGCGGTAGCTATGAAATGCATTATTAAAAAGAAACCCAAGACACCGACGACGGTTAAAATCGGCTAGATTATCTAGAGCAGTGGTCGCCAACTGGTGGGCCGGGGACCACTTGATTGTCCGCGAGAAAATTTTGGTGGTCCGCAGAGAAATGTCACCCCCAAAGCAATTAATCCAGGCTGCGCGGGAACACGAGGCTGCGCCGCCCACATGGCCCGCGGGAACACAAGGCTTGCGCCGCTTGCATTGAGAACAACACGAGGTAGTGAGGGGAGGGGGGGAGGGCTGAGGGGGGAACTTGCCCCACTCTCCCCACAAGCCTCGCCCGGCCACCAGGTTGCTTCTTTCTTCTTCTTGGCTGCACTCAAGGAAAGCAGCAAAACTCTTCCTTTCTCTCCCCCAAACTCCACCAGAAATGAGTCTTTGGGACCCTGCAAGGCCTCCTGCTCCAAGAGGCTGCGAAGGCATGACAAGTCTCACACTCCTTTCTGGCAGAGTTTGGGGGAGAGAAAGAAAGACTTTTGCGGCTTCTGCTGTTTTCCTTGCGTGAAGCCAAAAGTCTCTCTCTCTCTCTCCCCCCCTGAGGGCAGAGCTGGAGACAGTATCCCTGTGATCCCAAATAAAGATCGATCGATCGATCGGTAGGAAAACAGAGTGGGGAATTTTCCTGCAGATGTTTTTTTGGGGGATTTTCTCAGGGTCTCTGCTGCTTTCTGCAGAGACCCTGGGAAAACGTCAGCAAGCCACCATCAGTCAAAATTCATATTAGTGGCCCGCGGGATTTAAAATTATGAGTTTGGTGGTCCCTGAGGTCCAAAAGGTGGGCGACCCCTGGACTAGAGAGAAGTAAAACTACAACCCGCACTCCAGCAATGTAAACACACCCTTTTATCAGCAGAAAAATCTCCCAGGAAAAACAAAACCTGTTAAATTCCTACTCTTATTTCCGTACTTGGATTTGAAGTAGATACTGAGACCGCCATGAGGGTTTTGAAAGCAGCTGGATCTTTCTTTTGCCACAGCTGAAGCTGGCCGCAAAGTCTAGGCTACGAAATCTCTCCCCGGATTAGTTTATTGTACGCAACAGACCAGCCGAGGAGTAAAATTAGTCAAAAGCAACCCTGTGCTCTTCCCATCCGTGCCATTCGAAACTCCGCAAAGCTCATGAGGGTTTACACGGTGTACTGTATGAAACACTTTTAAAATATGTTTATTGGGGGGAGAAAGGGGAGACCATGAATTAAAAGACGATGCCAAGAAAAAACGTCTCGTTTTGTTTTTGTTTTTTCCCGTGAAATTTCCTCCAAATTTGTCCATTCTGCTAAATAATATTCCGGATCTTGTCAACAGTTGCTTTCTTTCTTTCTTTTCCTTTCTTTCTTTCTTTCTCTCTCTCTCTTTTTTTTTTTTTATTTTCCAGGAAGGCAATTTACTAAAATCAACTAAGGTTAAGTTAGCCTACAAGTTCACAAAAATGCAACAGTTAAAAGATAATTGGTTTCTTCTTCGTCCCCTTAAAATGGCATGTTAAAATTGTCGTCTAAGTTGTGAACATTTAAATAGAATATATATCTCCTATGAAAAGAAAAAGGCGGAGCACAAGTGCTTGTGCCTCGCTCCTTCCCCCCCCCACATCCCCCCTCCCCTCCCCAAAGTTTGTAAGATTTTTGGGCCCTGGCCAAATTGGAATGCTTTTGTTACGTACAGCCATAACGTTTTCCCCTAACAACTCGGTGTGCCCCGCCCCACCCCACCCCCTCAGGAAATATAGAGTCAAAAATATACAATTCTCTCCTTTTTTTTTTTTTTTTAACTACAAGCTCTGCATCTGGACGATTGGGGGGTTTGTGTGTGCGTGTGTGTGTGCGTGTGTGTTTGTCAGGATTATGGAACTGGAGGAGGAGGAGGAGGAGGAGGAGGAGGAGGAGGAGGCGGCGAGGGGAAAGTGACGGGTCGAAAGAAAAATAGTTGTAGGAAATAAAAAAGGCGAAGAAAATACGGTCGCTCGGGTTGGGAAGGAGAGGAGGCAGGAAGAGGATCAAAAAATCAAACAAACCAACTAAAAAAAATATATATGTAGTACCCCAAAATGGCAGGGCTGGTTGAAATTTCGACTGCTTAAAAAGTTGATACTGTAGTGGAGTTTCCTAGGAAAAATAAAACACCTTTTTTTTTTTTTAATAACTGGCCCGCTGGTATGAGCTACCATGGAATAAATTAGCACAAAAAAAAACGGGAGTTCTTATAACTGTTCGCTGTTACAGACGTAATCCACAAGGTCAGTCACTCGCAAGAGTTCGTCTTCGTCTTCCTCTGGTCCGCCAGCCTCCAAGCCGCCCCCCGTCCCGTTGGGTGCCAAAGTGGCATTGGCTGTGCTGTCCTTGGTCGAGTGGGCTTTCTCGGTGGGCTTACCGATCAAGTTCTCGATGGCCTTCCCGGGGCTCTGTCCGTTGGTGGAGGGCAAATCCACCAGGCTGTAGTCCAACGGGCTCTCCACCTTACTCACATTGTCAAAGTCATCCTCCTCGTCGCTTTCTATCCGGTAGCTGGATTTCTTGACGGGGTCTTGAGGAGCGGGAGAGGCCGAGGGTTTCTCGGCCAGCAGTGACGGCGGCTTTCCGGCTTCGGGGTAGTTGTCTTCCTCGTCCGTTTCGATGCGGTTCAAACGCTTGCGAACGGGCCGGCCTTCCTCCTCGGGGTCGTCCTCGCCTTCCGAGTACTCGTCGGTGGTGTGGCTCCGTTTCCGGACCGACCGCTTGGACAACCTAGCCGGCTGGTCGTCCTCCGAATGTTTAGCCAGGTAGCTCTCTGCAAGGAGGATCAAGACGTAAGAGCGAAATCTGGAAGGTTTCACGGGGAGGGGGGAAAAATTACAGGTAGTCCTCGACTTACGCGAAGCAAAACAGTTGTTAATGGCACTTAGCAGTAGCCCTTAGACTTATATACCGCTTCACAGTGCTTTTACGGCCCCCACTAAGCGGTTTACACGGTCAGGATTATTGCCCCCAACAATCTGGGTCCTCATTTTACTGACCTCGGAAGGATGGAAGGCTGAGTCAACCTTGAGCCAGTTGGGATTCAAACTGCCAAATTGCAGGCAGGCGGCTGTCAGCAGAAGTAGCCTGCAGTACTGCACTCTCACCACTGCGCCACTGGGGCTTGGTTGAGTGAGTTTGGTCCCATTTTACAAGCTTTCTTGCCACACAGCCATTAAGTAAATCCCTGCGATATCACAGTTGTTAAGTGTATCTGGCTTCCCCATTAAGTTGGGGATCGCATGACCCTGGACACCATAACCGTCATAAATATGAGCCGATTTCTTTCTTTCTTCCTTTCTTCCTTTCTTTCTTTCTTCTTTCTTTCTTTCTTTCTTTCTTTCCTTCTTCCTTCCTTCCCTCCCCCTTTCTTTCTTTCTTTCTTTCTTT